CACCATTACAACTCCCACTATGAGAAGTTCGGAGACTTTGTCTGGCGCAGTGAGGACGAGCTGGGGCCCAGGTACCTGTCCCTTCCCTGCGTCCTCCCCTGTCCTGCCACCTGGAGCGTCCCTCTGCTCGGACACGGTGTGTGTGACCCTCATGGCCTTCTCCTTGTATCACCTCCACACCTGTACTCCCTGAGGACAGTCGAGGAGAGGACTGCTCCCCCCAGGTGTGGCTTTGGGCACCTGCTGCCTCCTCATGTGGTTGGGGACATGTGTGGCGGTGCAAACGCCCTGCTGCAGGGGGATTATTCATATGTGAAAGCAGATTTGAGCCCCTGGAAGGGCAGAGCTGAGGTGCTGGCGAACAGATTATTACTTGTGACTGTAGATTGACTATGTGATACCATCACAGGAGCCAACAATAGAGCAATCTATATGCAGTAGACTTGAGTCTTCCATATAGTGTGTTTCACGGACATTTCCTTTGAGTTATTTCTCTGTCTATCTGACTTGACATATATCTGTTCTCACAGTGGCATATGGTTGCTGTACAAACTGTAAATATTTCCAAAATTCCCTTTTCCAACTTCTGTCTCTCCCAAAAGAATAATTCAGCTTGCTGATGTAGGCACTAGAAAGGTCCTCCTAAATTTTAGCCCTGTGGTGCCCCTGACACCATGCAAGGAGGCCAGCAAGCCCACAGCACCTCGTCTGTTACCTATGTACAGCTTTATGATAGAAATATTTTCTCTTTACTATACATTTCATGCTCTAAGGAGGACTGGGAGAGGATTGTTTCTGGGAGTATAAAGAGCAACCTTTCTAGGGGGCTGCATCTGCAGCCCCCCAGTGTACAGTGAAAGGAGTGGTGCAACTGTACAAGATCACACGTACACAAACTACATTGCATCCAGGCGGCTGGCAGTGTCCTGGCAGTGTCCCAGCAAAGGCCAGACTGCCACCCAGCCCCTTGGGAAACACTCAGCCAGAAATGCTCAGAAGTAGCCGTATCCCTCTGGACATCTTGGGATCTCTTACAGGATTCAAATAGCCTTGATCTGCTTTGAAGCTTTTAAAGACACAGTTCATCCAGCATCCTCATCTAACATGTTGTTCTCTGAGAAGCTGAAGCAGAGGGAGCTGGAGGAGTGGGGTCCTGCAGTCCATGAATAACGGGAAAAGATTTTCCTTCTTTTCCCCTTGCTTCTGCCTGCTTGTTGGACACGGCTGAGGATCTGCCCATAATACCAGGATGACAGCTCCTCACAACAGTTTACACCCCTCCTGGACATAAATCCAAGCTGGCCTGAGGCTTACCCTCCTCCAGAGATGACCTTGGTCATAGTTTCTTTGGTAGTTCATTAGCCTCTGGCACAGATCCATTCTCATCCTTCCCACTGCTTCCCTCCTTCTTTGATGACACTGCAGACCTGTTTGTCCTTTTCAGTTGTTCCTCTCTCTCTCTGAATCCCTGGGAACCATCAGCCTCTTCTTACACATCCGTGTGTCCTCTGTTACTTGAGATCCAACACACTTACTGAGGGATGCTGTCTAACCTGATACCGGCATCAAACCGTCAGATTTGCAAGGTGACATTTAAATTGCCCCTGTTGCCCGGCTCTGTACCAAGCCACATCTGCAGTCAGTGGTCAATCTGGCTGCTGTCTGTCTTCCTCACCGAGCCAGATGAGCTCCCAGCAGCGCTGGTATGCCTCTGTTCTGGTCTTGAGAAACACGCTGCTTGCAGCCGAGGGGAAGCATCTGTAAAGGCCGCGGCAGCCAGTGCCAGGCTCTTGACAAGAGCGAAGCTCTGCCGTGCAGCCGTGCTTCTCAGGGAGCTTGGACAGAAACGGAGGCACTGATCTAGCGGGAGGCGAGTGAGGATTTGCCAAGGGAGGCCATCTCATAACACGATTTTAATTGACGGACTGTTCTCCTTCCCAGAGGGACATTCATTTTCATACCTTGAAATGTTTATCAGATGAGCCTCAGCTTCACAGTAAATGTTCGCTCATAAAACTGAGCGACAAGAGGGAAGTTGATTGCCTCCGTGTAATAAATACATCACACTGGAGTCCTCGTGAGCCCAGTTTCCATGAAAGCCACAGGTTACTGCAAACAGCTGCTTGCGAGAAGACACACTGACAGCCAGATGTCCCAACCAGACCGTTTACATTAAGGAGACATTAAAAACTTAGCTCATAGGTGGCCCTAAACCAGGACAGTCTGTGGTGAGCAGCATCATGGCACCTGGCTTGCTTCATCCTGATAGTCTCCTTTAGCAACAACAACCGCTTTCCTGCTCCCCCCATTCCTCTTACAGACACCAAGTGAATCTCACAGAGTTAATTTGTTCCAACAAAACAGAAGAATCTGTCAAAACCAGTGAAGGTTTAATGCTACTGTGCGTTCAGACCTTTGGATCTGTGCAGCCAGAGTGCTCCCTGACACAGAGACAGGGAGATTTCTCTATTATTTTCTCTTACTGTGTTTTCAGGACAATTCTTATGACCACTGCAAACAGAGCCTGGCTTTTAGGAGGAGGCAGAACAAATAATTAAGTTAAAAATCTTCCTTCCATGCCCCTGCTTGTGGCTACCAGCAACAACGAGGTCAGGATGTGGCATTGGCCTGGGGTTCACAGCCTCTCCTTTGCTCGAGCAAGTCACCCAGGCAGGAGGCCGGGACAGCCGCAGGAGACGATGTGCATCTCCAGAGCAGCTGCCTTCTGGTACCGAGGGGGAATGCAATGTACTGATGGGAGGCTGTGATAAGAGGCCATCGAGTCCCGGACTCATTGTCCTCCCGTATGAGGATCTGACAGACCCAGGTCAGTTCTCAGTAGAGTGGAAAAATCTGAATTTATGACAGAATCACCCCATATGGGAACGCAGCAGCCAGGCAGCCACCCTCTCCCTGATCTCATCCTTCCCTCCAGCCCAGGTATCATTTCTTCTTTGCTTCTTCATGATGGTTCATTCTTTTTTAGTATCTTCCTCCTAGGTGAGGTAGGGAGGGTTTTGCTGGCTCTGGAGATGTTTTCATCCCACTCCAGCCATCGAGGTGAGCGGTTGCTGTCCCCTGTGCAGCTGAGGGACAAACGTCCCTGCGGGAGCCCCCCTGGGGCTGGGCAGAGCAGGAGGTAACATGTCTCCTGCTCTTGGGCATGTCCTTGCAGAGCTGGGACTGGCAACCAGGGACCTCAGTGCCCTGTCCCCTGTGCAATCACTGCACCACAGTCCCTTGCGGTGGGGCCACTGGTTCATGCACCAGGCCTCGGAAGGTGCCCCGGCAGCAGACACCCGCCCCCCTCCCCTTTCCCTCCCCATGCCACGAGGTACTGCAGAGGGAAGCAGCCATTTAGAGCCGTCAGTATTTTTAAATCCCCCTCTTCATCATTTATGACTGCGGCTGCGACCCCCTAAATCCGTCACGTAAGTGGAGACCAGGATCGGTCCCTGGCTGGCGCCAAGTTAAAACAACAGCCCCTGCAGCGGGCACGGGGCAGGTGGGAGGGCACCGCTGGCTCACGCCAACGTGGGGGCACCCCTTGTCTGGGCTATGGGGTGAGGGGGAAGGGGGTTGCTTCATCCCTTCGGGGGCTGGCAGCTTGGGGTCTGGCCACAGGCAGCCGTGAGAGTGACTCCCCCCTCGCTCGCTCCCCTGCCATCCTCTCCTGATTCCTGCCCTTTAATAAGGCAATAAATTACCGTTTCTGGCAGGGATGAGGTTGGTCAGCATTTAGGAAGATTTCATTTCCAGTATTTGAAAAGGTGGTCGTTCTGACCCGACAGCCCTCCGCAGGGAGCACTTGGGTAATACCCAGGGCTTGATTTATGGTGTTAAATTGGCAGCGCAAGAACTGCTCCAGTAATTTATTACCCAGCCTTCACGAAAGCCTCTCTCTCTTTCTCACCCCTCCCCTCGCTCGCTCTGTCTCTCTTTCCCCTTATTTTTTTTAAGAAGGAACAGCTGACAGCCGAAAGCTAAATCTAACATTTACACATGACTTCATTACCCCACTGAAATAAATGACTCAAGCAATGAAACCCATCAAAACTGGGGCTTTGGCATCGGACACCAAAAGTGAGGGGCCTGATTCCCTCTCTCCCCTTCACCCTGTCTCCTCCTTGACCACAGTGAAGTGTGTTTTCAGCATCCTTGTAGGGCCAACCCATCGTGTGCTGCATCCCACCCTTACACATCGATACTTTCCTGGGACTGACTGCATCAAGCACAACTGCAGATGCAGCAGGTGTGTGGAGACCAGCTCCACGAGGAGCACAGCCTCCTGCATGTGAGACATCGGCAGGTCTGGATGGTTTGACCCCTGGACTTCTTGAGCTGCTCCTCACACGTAGGAGTGTTTGTCTGGATAAGAGACCTGAGTATGTATCAGGAAGCAAGGACAACGTGGTGATTTTTAGCAAAATCCAGAAGATCATGGAAGTATGGTGGAGCAAGTAATAAAAACTGGAAGGTAGAGAAGACCGAGGGAAATGGAGGCAAAGGCAGGTTGTGCGGGAGAGAAGTGAGAGACGGGTGAAGAAAGCTATGGAGGGTAGGAGAAAGATAAGTGGTGAGAAAGGAGAGGAGGAAGAGAGGAGCTTGGCCAGCAGACATGTGTAGGAACATGCTGGGGAGTCCATTCCTTCTGGTGTTAGGGCCAAGTTGTGGTTACACACACTGGGGTTTGCCTCAAGGGCTGGTCGTGGCCACTCATTGTCGCTTCCCTCTTGCTATGGCTGGGAAAGGCCTTGGGGCAAGCTGGAGTGGGAAGCACCCTGGGGGGACATCCATGGGTTGCTTGGTTGGCCTTCAGATGGACAACTTCCCCATGTCAGCACAGCGTTCAGGTTCATGGACACCTGCACAAGCACAAGCCAATGGGCTGGGGAAGGGTCAATATCCCCTTTTGGCAGTAGAGATGATTTACGATAAAAAAGGGTGACCATGGAGCTATGGCCTTAGAGAGATGATCGTTACCCTTTTTGAGGAGGGGGATATTCTGGCTAAATGCTCTGCTCTCATGCGCTGTCAGCTCACATAAAAGTCTGTCCTATGAGCTGACCGTGGGCCCTGTGATTGCTCAGCCTTCCCTAAAAAAAAAGGAGAATCAGCACAGATGTTATGAAAAAAATTTCTCAGCGTTAGGGTGGGTGAGCAGTGGAAGGATCACCAGCTCTTGGCTCCAAGAACAGGTTAGGCAGTTACACATCAAGGCAGGTTGATCCCAGCAAGGAAATGGCACAGATGATGCCTTTTGGTCCCTTCCAGCACCAGTGACTGATTTGCTGAAGTTTGTTAACTGTAGTGACAGTCACTACAGACTTTGATTTGCTACCGAGCTTAGCTTTAATCAGCCTTTACTGAAAGTGTATTAAGCCGTCATAGAACTTCATAACTTCTTAGCGGCTGGTGTCCAGCAGCGACGGCCCTGTTCTTGGCAGTGTGTCGCGTCTTGACGCACAGTGGGAGCACCAAGGTCAGTTGGCTGCTATGGAGAGTAGCATGATCAGAGGTATATACCACAGCTCGGCCTGTGACATCATTATTATATGTGTGTGTGTATAGGTAAGAGGCTGAAATTGCCTAGTCAGCCTTCTCTTTATAGATTAAATCAATACATGGATGCACGTCCAAGAAGGGACAACTCCTTCTGCCCTTCCCTTCCCCTGGAAAGCCGACCCCAAGCCTGTCACCCCTGGGGAGGAGCGGGGAAGTTTTCCACACGCAGCTGTGGAGGAGCAGCGGTTCCCTACAGCCTTTCATCCAGTCTTCCCGCTCTGAGGGGAGAGCTTTGTAGTCGGCTGGGGATGCCGAGATGCCCTCTGGCCTCCTGCCGCCGTCTCTGCCCTCTGCTGTGGCGCTGGGGTGGCTCTGGCCAGCCTGTCCCTGGCGTCCCGTCCCCGGGTGCCTGCGGGTGTGCAGCCACACTGGGCTCCCAGTGATCCCCCCCCGGCTGGGAGCTCACAGCCAGGGCTGAAACACCACTCAGCTTTCATAATCAAATAATCCCCATGTTTATGCCTCACTGACTGACAGCGCTGCCCCTGACATATCATTATCGGGAATTTACATTCCTGCAGGAACTGCAAAATCCCTTAGCCCCGAATCCAGAGCTTTCCTGTGGCACCAGAGGGAGAGGAAATAATCTGTGATCTTGAGACTTTCAGACCACTGAAGTAAACCCTCTTCCCCTCCCTTTGTTTGATTTAGCACTTTGCAGACTCCCACAAGGGGATTCTCGGTTTCTAACGGGTTTATTTTGTTTTGTCTTAATGTGTTGTGCTTTTATTCCTCGCTCTTCTAGTGTCAGTCCTTTTGGGCCATTTGCCTCCTGGAGAGTTGGGAAAACAGGAAGGGGATGGCTGGGCTCATCAGTCGGGAGCAGTAGGGTGCTGGGGGTCTCACCAGGGTACATGGGGGCCAGCTGGAGCCTGCCAGGAGCACGTGGTGATGACCGTCTAGCCAGGGGCAGACAGTACTCCAGGGCACCCAAGCTGCTCTAGTGGGTCAGACCTGAGGTCCTTCCAGCCCTGTTGACCTGGTGCTGTGAAATAGTAGATATACCCAGAACTTTTGGGCAAAACAGAGCTTCTCTCCACTTGAAGCAGGAAAGACAATGTCTTAGGCAGTGGGTCTCGTCTGTTCTTGTCACAAGATGGAGCTGCTGGTGGAACCCAGAAGTCCTGGCTCCTGGTCTCCCCTTTGCATTGCCTGCCCTGCTCTGTCTCTATCTCTGTTTGTCCCCTCCAGGAAGGCACACCTGATCCTGAGGAGGCTGGAGAAGGTCAGCAGTCACTGCTCGACCCTGCTACGCAGTGCCTACATCCAGAGCCGCACGGAGACCATGCCCTACTTGTTCTGCCGCAGCGAAGAAGTCCGGCCGCCCGGCATGGTCTGGTACAGCATCCTAAAGGACACCAAAGTCACGTGCGAGGAGAAGATGGTCTCCATGCTGCGCAACACGTACGGGGAGTCCAAGGGGCGGTGAGGGAAGGTGTGGGCCTGGAGCTGTGGGAGGCAAAGGGACTCCGAGGAGTCGAGGACTCGTGATGTGCTGAGTGGCTGGTGGGGTTCGGGGTCGGGTGGTGGTCGGAGGGGTGGAAGGGGACAGCGAGGCCAAACAGGACTTTCTCACGCAGATGGCAGAGAAACAAGGAATCAGCAAGTTGGACTTTAATTTCTTTTCCTTTTTTTTTTTTTTTAATTTTTTCAAGAGGAAAAAAAGAAATTACCTAATTTGACTCAGCATAAAAGCCTCTCCTTTTTAATCTTTTCTTACTGAATTTCCTGGACTACACGCTCCAAAACCCTGGGAGGAGGAGATACCCGCTCGAGGCCAGGTCCAGGCAGAGGGGAGCTGCTGGAGACAGGGTAACCCCCTCCCTGCCTGCCCTGCCCACTCTGCCTGCCCTGCCGCCGGGCAGGAGCTGTGGGGCGAGGGGCCCCAGTGCCGTGGTGGCCGAGGAGGCCAGGAGGAGGTGGCGCGGGTGGCCGGCAACACCGCGCTGCCAGCGAAGGTCCCGGAGGGGGATGCCAGGCAGGTGCCGGGACGCTGCAGGCAAGCTGGGCTTTTGTACCACTCCGAGCCGACGGACCAGCTCCGTGCGCAGCCTTCGTTCGCGGGGCTCCCGGCAGCTCGTTCTGTGCATTAAAGATTCATATCAAGTCCATCTCGCTGCCTCCTTGGTGTTTCTTCCTGACACTGTCTCACTGCCGCTTGGGTGTTCGCAGGGTTTCAGGACCAGAGAGGGCATCACTGGCAGCTGTCCCCATGCCGAGATGTGGCAGAGATGAGGGGCTGTATCTGGAAACTGGCACCGACGCCAAGGGCTGGATGCATAGAGAGGAGGTGAAAGTGCAGCCTCTTTGTGTAGGGTCCTGTCCCTCCCCAAAACCCAGCTCGGCCACCAGCCCCAGTGGGAACTAGAGGCGTGTGGGAAAACCCAAGAAGGAAGCCAGGGGCTAAAAAGACGTGGAGAATCTGGTTTCTTTTACTGTCAGATGTGGGTTAGGCTGGCCCGGAATCCCTGTGGGTAATGGATTTCTCAGCCTGGTAGCCAAACCAAAAAGTGCAGGAAGATGGCGGGGGGGGTGGGTGGGTGATGGGGAAAACCAAAAAACAGATCAACTCAAAGCTATTGCTTTTTCCTTTTACAGCAAAACAATGAACCTGGAAGGTGAAAAGGGAACAGTGTGGGTTGAATGAATCAGTTTAGTCAGCCCAAAGCCAATAGTTTTATTTACTTTTTTTCAAGTTCTTTAACCCTTTAATAAAAAAGCAAACAAGCAGGAGGTGAATTTCAAAATGAAAATGTTTTGAAACCAAACAAAGGTGCAGGATTTGATGTGGAGGAAGTTCAGCCAGAGACCTTTTTCTTCTTGAGCTAAATCTATTTGCCTGATTTGCATCCACTCAGATAATTCTGATCGTTTCTCCCAAGCTGCTTTTTTTTTTTTCCTCCGTCTTTGGTTATGTTTTGTTTTCTTGAGCCACATTGACGTTGCACATTGGGAAGGCCTCCAGTACCTGGCCAAATTCCCACTGGAGTTCACAGAAAACTTTGCCTTGATGTAGCAGTCTGTGGAGCAAGAACCAAAGCATTGCAGGTTGCCTGAGGTCTTAATTTTTAAGCTAAATCCCTTTTTCTGAGGGATCTGGGCTGTGGCCACTGTCGCTGAGGCTTGTGCAGCACTGAGCACGAGGGCCATGGAGGGACCACGATGTCACATGTGTTAAAGCCTCTCTCAGCCCCCAGCACTGCTGCTGCCCATTAACCAGCCCTTTGCCCTTCAGAGGCGGCTGGTGGCCGTGGAGGCTGGTTTTGAGGATGACGATGACCATGACTTGCTGCAAACGAACACAGACTTTGCATTTGTTTGGCTGGAGCTGCCCAGCCCCAGCATGGCTCTCAGCACCCATCCAGCAATCTGTGCACCAGCCAGGCCTGGCGCAGGTCTGTGAGCTGCAGAGAAACTGGGGCTCACAGTTCTTGCCCCTCCTGAAACGGGAGACACCGGTGCAGGAGGAGGTGAGGCAATATTCGTTCAGCTTTGCTGTTGTGTAAAACAAAGCACAGCAAACCTCTTGAAGTGCAAATGTGCAGGCGTCCCGGCCGGTGCCCTGACTGGTGTTTCTGGCATCGTGGTGTTACACCAAGCTGCTCATTTCATGACATGGTAATGGTAATGGTAATACGCACTGCTTGGTGGGGCGGGGGGAACCCCTAAACAGCTCTTTGGAGCCACTGACGCAGATTAACCAGGACTGATCCTCCTGTCCCGGCCTCTGCAGAGCAGGCGGTGGCTCCATCGCCCCGCAGGACCTGTCCCCCAGATGCTCAGCAGGATGCGGCCCGCGCCGGGACTGCCAGGGCCGGCAGCGCCCACGCAGAGCCCAGCTGGTCCCAGCGCCACGGTGAGCTGCTGCTAGTGCTGGGGACACCTCCAGGTGCTTTGAAGCCGTCTTGTTTTCTCAAGGCTCTGGCCTGCAGCCATGCCTTTCCTTGTATTTTACAAACATGGTGTTTTATTTTGGGGTTTTTTTGTTTGGTTTTGCTCGGAGATGATTCATTTCTCCTGAAAGCCCTGTGCAGTGTGTGCTGTGATGAGGAGCAGCTCTGCGGTTTCACTGCAGGCGAGAGCCGGTGTTGACCGACCTGATGGACAAATTGCTTGTGTTTTCTGTAACGCTGCTGATGGTGTGACAGGGCTAATGCTATTAGTGGGGTGCTGGGTGTTAGGACTAGGAGATGCCAGCCAAAATACAGGGTGGCTGACTGGATGCCCTTCAGCACATTTTTCTCCGCTCTGCTACAATGGACTCCCACACAGTGGTGTCTTTTGCACCTGGGACACCCATCCCAGCAGCCTCCCTCAGCAGAGCTTGGGGGGGGGGAGTGACAAAACCTGCAGCACGGGGCCGTTTTGCTGCTGACAGCGGTGGAAAGGAGACCTTCAACGCTGGTAACCCTAACCTCTGCTGGGAGCAAAACACGAGCAGCACAAGGACAGGCTGGCTGTCCCCCTGGCTCCGCGCTGCAGCTGTGTCCACTGCAACGACCAGGGCCTTGGTTCTTGCTGCTTACCTTGGAAGGCTGCTGAAGAGCTTCGCTTCGCATCCTTGGTGAGGCTGGCTATTGCACACAGGTACGTATACAGAGCAAGTTGTGTGTAAGCCTGTGTTAATATGTACACAGCAGGTGGAAGAGTCTAGACTCCCTGGCAGGAAGGCTGCGGAGTCTGATGGCTGTTAACCTGTCGAGAAGCGCACCTAGCTCCCAGATCAAAGCCAGAAGAGCCTTTGGCCAGTGATGCTACCCAGCACGGTGTACCCAAGCCAAACAAAACCGAGGAATTCATCGAGGTTACACATCCTTCAGCACACAGCTGAAAGGAAGGGTCTGTATTTTCTCCCTGGAAACTTTGGAGAATGTAACTCTCCAGCTTTCAAGATAAACAGTTGTAGTCACGGCCTAGCAATGCTGGCAGGCTACCTGTGCCCTGTAGTGAGTGCATACATACCCCTCGCCATTCCTCTGGCTCCCTTAGGGAAAAGGGATCCTTGCTCCAAAGAAACTTGCTGCTGCCCCAGGAGCTGGTTCCTCTTGCCAACCCGCACCCTGACTTTGCTGTGCCACTGGCTGGGCTTTGGCAGACCAGGGGCCAACGCCATCCTGGGTGGGGAGAGCACCAAGAGGTGGATGAAACCTGAAAAGTGAGTGGGGAGAGGGGCAAAAAGATGCCATCATTCAGGTTTAACAGGTAAACTAACCACATCCATTTGCAAAGCTGTAATTATTTGTCCAGTGGCATGAAGCAGGGAAGGGTAACCTGGCGTTAAGGGTTCCTGGATGGCGTCACCAGCTTTAGGATGAGTTCAGCTCAAAAGGAGCAACCTCCTCCATGTGCCTTTGCAGCAAGTGCAAGTGCAGGTAACGGCATCACTAGAGCAGTTGTAGGTGCATGCAGGGTGTCCCCTGTGCCCTGCACAGCCTGGCCCTACTCCCACCACCCCTGCACCCCCCAGCACCCCATAAGCTCAGCACCAGGAGGTGGTTTCTCTGCAGAGGCTGCTCACTCTTCACTGTAGGTGTGTTCACACTCTTCCTTTTAACAAACACATTCACCGCCACTTTCAGCAGCCCTTGACCATCCCAGCGGGCACACGCCCTCCTTAAGGGCACCTCAAATCTGCCACTTGTTTGGCAGCTCAAAGCTGGTGACAGCCACAGGTCCCCTCCCAGGACTGCGTGGGGCTGTCTGCTCCCGAGGAGCAGAGCGGCCCTGAACAATCCCCATTGTCCCCACGGCCATTGTTCCCCACCGCCCTCGTCCCCAGCCGGGCTGCAGCTGGCACGGTGCACAGAGGGGCTGATTGTTCGGTTGCTGTGCCACTGATGACACACCACTTTGGGACAGCTTCTGCCCACAGCAAAGGCCTCCCAAGTCAAGTGCTGTGTTTGCTCCTTTATTTATTTCTTTGGTTTCTGCTTTTCCTCTTTTTTTAATTTTTATTTAATTTTTGCTTGGTTGGGTGAGGCAGGCTCTGCTGAGGCTGGGGAAGAAGCCAAGGGAGGGCCAGAGGCTGTTCGGCATGG